CTGTAGCAAAGTTTACCAGCTATATAATGTATAGATTGAATATATTGAATTTTAGTGAATTTAATAAGTGTTTTTTTTTTTATTTTAGTAAATGTATAAACGTAGATATAGGTCACCAATTTATCAGCGGCTAATTCCGTCATTCTCTCAATAGAACTAATAATGATAAGTATTAGTCAGATTACATAATAATAATTATTATTATTAACTATGAATATTTATAATAATTGATTATTACTTTTCTTTACTCCTTGCATATTCAATGGCAGAATTAATTAAGTAATTATAATGAGGATTTTTAGCGGCCTCTAAAATTAACGAGGGATTTGTAGTTGCGTCTTGTGGATGATATAGTATAATTGCTGTTTTAAAAAAATTAAGCCAGAAAAAGAATTAATATTATTGGTTAATGCAGAAATTTAGGCTTATTTTCGTAACAGTAAATTTTAAAATATTTTGAGGCATAATCTTTTTAGACTTAATATAGCAAGATTTAGGTTAGAGTTGTTAATGTTGTAAATAAGAACAGAATATAAGTGGATAATATTTTTAGTACGTTTATATAAAATCTACCTAACAATTCTAATTTATTAAGAACATTTCAACTTTAATTCCGTTCACACTTAAAAAGAGACCCGAAATTTTCAGTGTCATCTAATTTTAATATCACTCACTATGATTGATTAAGGTTGATGATACGTACACTCAAAATCACCAGAATCAGCAACGACAGTAGTCCATTGTTTTATTTGATCAAGAGCCGAAATCATGATTCAAGAATTTTTAACGGATATTGCAGAAATATCGTAGAGGATATTTTAGAAACCTAAAATTCACCTCATTTATATAAATTTTAGTCGATGTTATTACCAAATGATCTGGTTTAATCAGTATAGTAAACGTAGAATGAATAAGAACCATTGATGTGACAATAATTAAGGGAGATAATAAGGGAGTATAGATGCAGACTTAATTTACTTCACTAATTCGACTCAATTTCATTTTATTTTATTTAATATAAATTTTTTATATATTTAATGACATAATCTGCATCTATGGAGCAGTGGTCTTTTTCGATTTTTAACAGCCGCACTACCTTGTTTTAGTGCATTGAAAGTGCGTCGGGGTGCGTCGAGTGTAACCCAGGTTCGCATAAGGAGAGCTTCTTCCTGCGTTGCGAACAAAAAGTAAAATTTCCAATTATATTAAGTAATTGGAATTTATTTTGTATTCGCAACGCAGGAAGAGGCGAACCTGGGTTACACTCGACGCACCCCGACGCACTTTCGATGCACTAAACACGAAAAAGACCACTACTCATCTATGGCGGGGGAAGATGTAAACTAAATGAATAAGGAAGGTAGGTAATTAATACGGAAAATTAATATATTTAATAGTAATAACTTAAAATATAAGGGATAATATGATAAGAATAAATAATTGTATGAACGTGATTTATATTATAAATTATAGTTTTTTATTGTCAACGTACAAAAAAACACTTATTAAATTCACTAAAATTCAATATATTCAATCTATACATTATATAGCTGGTAAACTTTGCTACAG